TATATATATAGGAACACGCATCCGTACCCGCTCATCTCGCATATTACCACACTTGCAGTCCAAACGGATGTGCCGTCGTTCGGCTATCTGGTGCTGTGCTTCACGTACTTTGCCACCAACAAGCGGTTTCTGCTGCTATCGGACCGTCTGACCTTCTGGCACCGCCTGGTTGTGTACAATGTCTGCGTATTGGCCCTGAAGATACTATGGCAGGTGAGGAGATTACCTTTAAATTAGGATTTCAGCGGCTGGCTTGTAAGGTGTAGAGTGAATGGTGGAGGGTTAATGGTTTTACTATAAGACGTTGTTGTCCCGTGGGGGTTCCCTCGATATATAAATATATAAATATATATATATTGTGCTGTAGTGCGTTGTCGTGAATTCGAAGACTATGTCAGGGACGCAAGTAATGTCTGTCTGATATCCACTGCTGGTACGGGTGTGTCCGTGGCTTCTCAATTAAAAGTGCTGTTTCGTTAGTTGATTGATTGAGATTATCTACCGGAGTGGTATATAGCACTTGCCGACGCCTTAGCCCTGATACATTGTATAGTGCATACAATCTGATTGGTTCTCATTGTTCTATCAATGGCATTTTCTTTTGTGGTTATCCGCCATGGCGATTAACTACCGTGCGTGGCCACACTCATCTATAGTCTTCTTGGCCTATTCTATAATTAAGCACCATCTGATTGGTTTACCCTCTCTTATTTGTGGCCTTTTTATTTTGCAGTTACCCGCCGTGATGATCGACTGGGAACATCTGCCACAGTGGGTAGTCACACTCACCTATGTCCTCGCCCTAACTAAGGGACTGGCACTGAACCCTGAGCCTGGGTCCTATCTCACGGATGCTTGGAGCACATCCCAGGTATGTAGTCCAGACGTGTCTGCGGTCAGGACGATCTTGCAAGATACATGCACATGCACATATAATTATAGACGGATCATACACATATAAATACACAGCCATTTATGCACTATCACCCAATCGTATTCTATATATATATATATATATATATTGTAATATATTATACCTTGTCATGCTGATCGTCTGTGTGCTGCGATGTCTACTTACTTGCCACCACCGAGTTGCTGAAGAGTGGCTCGGTACAATACGCGGCTATGTTACTCACCGCCAACAATGCAATATACATGTACATGCACGAAAAACCAATATGCAACTATACCAGTGGACACCCAAAACACACACCCTATATCTACACCTGTAGCTCAGGAATATAGCTCATTCATACTATACAAATACATATATCATCTGTACCCGGGTGCCTACTGTAACTCATCCATACTATATTATATAACTCATCTATACTATATTATCTCATATATCATCTGTACCACTGTATCGTCTACTACAGGGTGCCATGTTGTTTGACTTTGTGCTGCTGTGTCTCCTACTGGCCACCACGGAGCTTCTCCGGAGTGACCTGGCTGAGGACGATGTCATGCTACTCAAGAACCAGAAACAATTGATACGTAAACGAGCCATCTTCATGTCGCACAATCACAACCGCAGACTCAAAACGGAGCGAGCGCACGAGTACACCCTGCTGGGTATGTGTTTGTATTTATATATACG